TATATATATATATACATAAATATATATATATATACATGTCGTTAAGTTCCTCTAATGCAGTGTTGTAAAATCAAATTAGTGTGTATTACTAATTCTGTGGACATACACAATGGAAATTACAAAAAAAAAGATATGTAAAAAGTAAGACGTTTTATAAGTTTTGCCATTTGAAACGGTAAGCGAAGTACGTGTGGCATTATTGTAGAGATATGAGAGAAATAACGTAAATAAGGTAAAGTACATAACACAAGCACGATACAAACTAAGCGCTTGTCCCAAAACTCATGGATCCAACACATCATGTGCATACATATTGTAAAATTATTGATGAATAAACAGTAAAAGCATCGAAATATATCTACCTTCTATAAGACGTCAGAGCTCTTTCAAAACCGTAAAGTTATTTTGCGGTGTAACTTACGAAGGTCCCAAGAATATTCTGAATAGGGATGGAAATGAGAGATGGAACGGCGTACGATTGTGTGTTTTAATATTTATTATGTATGTACAAAGATGTGTGTAAATATGTTTTATGAAACGCGTTTCTTTCCTTGTATGTATGTATGTATCATATTAAGACAAATTTGTATTTCAGATGAAAGTAAAAGGAGAGATTCGAGTTAGATCACCACACATTCGTAAGGGAATTGTCCTCGGAAAAGTGTATTGTCTGGTCGTGGACAAGCTGTAACATATAATTATTCATATTGATTTTTTTCTTTCTCATTTGCATCGTATACTTTATATGTTGAATGAAAAATTCGAGAAATGCAAAAATTTTTTAATATTTAATAATATACCATTTTTTATTCTACCAAAATGTTCTTCATTTTCTAATTTTATTCAATCATTCAAGTGATTCAATATGTAAAGGTTTAATGTTTAAAAAAAATTTAAGCGTTGTAGGCTGAAAGTTCAGTTGAATTATTGTCATTGAAGGTACTAACGTGTCTCGCAGTAAGTGCCGTAGAATCCAGTTCCTTCGCAACGACATTTAAATCCGGGCTCCGACGATATTTGAGAACATGAACCTTCGTTCAGGCAAGGTTTCGATCGAGAACATATGTCGCTACGTCTTCCTACAACGAAACAAATTAAAATTCTTAAGCATGTAAGATACATCGTCAATGTGTCTATTATTCTACAAATTTTAACAGTTCAAGAGCAAGTATCGTTTGTCATTACCTTTCAGTGCTAACTTGCAATCATCATTGTTGTCATATCTGTATTCGGATTTGCAGCCGTAGCCACAACTGCATTGTGCATTATAGATGCGGCATCCGTATCGCATCTGATCCAACTCGCATCCCTTCGACAATATAACTCCTGGCAAAGAAGTTTGGCGTTAATTAGACTCCGTTGAACAAGTACAACACTATTGAGCTATTTTATTTGAGCAATACCTCTGGTATCTTTCTAACAAATAGATGTTTTGATTTGATTGGACTCGATTTTTTAATAAAAATATTAGGTATATGATTTTCAAATAATTGACGTAATCAAGTATTTACAATTTAAGTAATTTAAAAAATAAGGAATTTCTAATGCTCAATATCTATAGTAGAGAAAAAATTATAAAACATCGTTTCTCAATTTCACAAACTAACTTTAACAGAATTTAAATTTCAAATTAAGTGATATACGAAGATATACTATAATAATTTTAAATATAAAATAATGCGAGAGATAAATAATGGATGCCTTCGACATTTTTCTTAAAAAAATTATATGTACATTAGTCGAAGAAATTTCAATGAAAAAGATATCTGATAATTCTGAAAAAATAAAAGAATGAAGAAGAAATAATAAGAATAAACTCTTTTTTCGACATGTGTTTATTAATAACTATTTTAATGCTTATTATCAGAAGAATTAATAGATGCGATTCTATTAAATTGGATTCTATATTTATTAACTATCTACATTATTTTTAGGTGAATGTACCACAGAGTGTAGTGGAAATATCTACGGTTTATTTACCCCAGGGAGAGATAGTGGCGTTTTAACGAAGACGAATGTTTGCGGCCGGATGTGCTCGGCTGCACTTCCCACTTGTCTAAATTGATAAGCGTTTCACGAGATAGAGGATACCGTGCGTGGGCTAATCGATTTTTAGATTCGTTTACTCTCGACCTAATGACATGACGTTCGTGATTTCTTTTTCGCCAATGTGCTGATATATTACAGCGACATATATCCAGTAATTTTTTTATGTTTTTAAAACGAATTCTGCGCTCACGTATTTTTTCAGTCGATTCATTCAAAAGTAATTATTAATTACAGACGATATATGGCCTATTATAACAGCATAATCTGCAATAAAAGCAAGCGTGTGTGGGATGTTCATCATTGAGAGCGCTGTTCATTATCGGTATGAGTTTATCATTTGCTTACTCAGAAAAAATAAACTAAGAGTGCGTTTTATACATATATTACTGCTATCACACATACATTACTCTCATTCTATGGGAGATTAAGTTTGCTGAAGAGACCGAATTCCACGAAATATTATAGTCTTTAAAAATTAAAAATTTTTCATTCGATAATTTATAGTGAAACATTAGAAGAACAATTTTAGAATTATTATCTAAAAAAAGAAATAAATAACATTAAAGAAAAATCATATTTTATATCGCAAAGAATAAAATATAATAACAAGAAAAAAATGATTAGAACACTACCGTTAAGCGATATACTAATTGCTAAATTTTTAACTGAGAAATGTTTTTGATGTATTGATGAGTATATTGATATATTTTGTTTATCTTCTAATTGTTATAATTTCTATTACTATCTTAATTTATTTATATATTTATTTATATTTATTTATAATCTCTGACGTGTAATCAAATGCACAAGTAAATGACATACATTTACATCGTGCGCTTAGATCGCGACCTATACGATAAGTTTTCATTTAATTTACAGGGATAAACAAGAACACCTATTGTATAAGCCTAAAGATCGAATGTTCCCATCTTTTGGTAAATTTTATCTGTTAGATAAATCTGATAATCCGCGCATGTGATTGATTAATCTTGCTATTTACTCAACAGGTAAAATTTATCAAAAGACGGAACAACCGGACCTAAATGCACGATGTAAACGTAGGCAATATTCCAGTGATCGGACATGTATTTAATGTACACTTACGCAAGGTTTATTATTAATTTCTCTCTCTTGCTCTTTTCATTGTAATATAATTTAATAAAGATTATATTAATAAAGATTATTTTAAAAACGTTTGAGATTAATAATAATATAAAGTTTTGTGTAAATGTATTCGAATATAAGTGTATGTCTGATTACTGATTTACCTTATTGTATATTTGATGAGATATTTATCAAAATCTTTAGTATTTTAAAATGTCTTTACTTATAATTTGAACTTGATATTTTAATATGACATACCCATTGTTAGGAGGAGTAGCGCAACTGAGAGCGTCAATCTTGGTAGCATGATGTTTCCAGATGAGGTGAGACAAGAAACGTCAAAAAGCCCCGCGAAGAATATCGTAAACGGCGATAATCCAAGAGAAGAGGGAAGATCGTCAATCGTTTGACGTTTTCTTGGTAGGCTTTTGTCGTTGGTCCAGTATCAAAGGTCGACAGACTCCACAGGGGACACAGGGTCAGTGCGGTCTCTCTTCGCGTGTTCTCTTGTCAATGTTGTAACGGGAGAAGCGCTCGCCGGTACTGTTCAGAGCCAATAGCGGTCAAATCGACCGAATCTGCCGACTTGTGGCAGCTAACTGTCGTGGACCGCTAAACTAGTTACGATCGTGCGGAAACCGTCCAATCGCTGAAGAACTTTATGCGTGGGGTGAAACTCGACGTCCGTCAACGTTTGCAGTGGTGCCTGAGACATGAAATCATGCAATTCTTTAATTTTTATGTAACATTAATTAAATACGGTTTATTAATAAGATTGAAATTGTTCATTTAAAATATAATATACACTCGTAAAATTTTAGACTGTATTAAGAGAAGAAAAATTTAAATTCCGTAAAATTTTTCTTGCTAATTTTATATTTAAAGTTTTTAACACGTATAGAGAATCGCAATCAAGAATATTTAAGGATATTTATGGAAATCATTTTTGGAGTTAATTTAATATTTTCTAACGTGAGGAACTATATTTGCATTTTATGATTACTTAAAATGCAGTATAAAGATATTATTTGTAGTGTCTTTATTGTGATTTCTCTCTCATAATTTAACATTTATATATTTTTTTATTTTCTGATAAAGTTTTACGACTTCAGCTTTTGTCTGCTATCACTGTGCGACTGTGTGCATGCTACGAAATTATCGGTCTTTGCAACACAGTGTGTCTATTTTCGTCATGAAAAGAAGACTGCGTCTTTTTGGATTCGAGACAAAAAAATAATTCCAAAGAATTGACATTTTTCGCAGGCAATTGTCGAATTGATCAAACCAGTCAGCTATACTATAGAATAAATTTCATTGATAATTTATGACATTACTTTCGTTTTTGAATCATATAAAATTCTTGTACTAATGAGTGATTATCTTTATCGAACAAAATTTTAACTAACAGATTTAATGACGTATTATCATTATAAATAATATGCTATCATCTTCAGAATTCGATAACATTTGACACTGGCAGCTGTAAGTCCGGAAATTGATGAAATGTGTCGTGGCGGCAGACCTCTAAAATTTACAGCTATACAAAGAAAATTTAATAAAATTTCCTCATCTCATAAAATGAGATCAAAATCGATAGTGTATAGTATGTTTTGTACAAATAATTTGCATAATGCAGAAGATTATAATTTTAACCGACATAAGATTGCATTAATAAAAAAATAGACATTCACATTTATTACATAATTAAAATAATTTATTTTAAAACAGGTTTTGCTCTTTAAAATAGATTACAAAAATGTAAAGGCACTTTATTTACCTATTATTAAATGGTACTTAATTGTATATTCTATTAATGAATATTTTACATCTTTAATATAAGATATCAAGTTAAGGCAGTGACAATTATTTTAATACAATATATAATTATTTTAATACAATATATCAAATATTTTAAAAATGTATTCTACATGTTATTATAAACATTCTGGAGGATTCAAAACACAATTTTATTGATTCATTGTTGTAGAATATTTGTATATATTTCAGCTGAAACGTCAAGTAGTATTGATAAATTTATATAACATGGCATTTGGCAACGCTAATGGATCATTCTGCCGCATCAGTTTCTTAGTTGTTTTTATTTTATTTAATTCATTTTCTCTATTATTTATATGTGGCACATTTTCTAAAGCTGGAATATTCATATTCTGAAAAGAATTTTTAAAATGAAATTAGAGATTATTGATTTTTTATTCACTTTCATAATACGTTTTAAAATGTTAGTACCTTACATAAATGTTTGATCGTGTTGTTCGTGGATCATTGTTGCCCTTCGGGATTGAATCAGACCCGATTGTCTATTATACAATTCTCTAACCAGGCTGTCTTTTTCTTGTTCAAGTAACACTATTCGTTGACTCTTTTTGCTTACTTCCTGTTTTGATGTTACATAGAAAAAAAATAGATTACAATGATTTGCTGTTTTTCGTATATAATGCATTATTCATATAATACATTATTGTTATTATTATTATACATTACCTCGGTTAATCTGTGATTCTGTTGTTTAAGCCTTGATAACATATCTTGCTGAAGTTGAGCCGAAGTCGGAGCACTCAAAAACGCGAGATTCATATGAAGGGGAAGTCCTCCGCGTTCCCAGCTGCTTATCAAAGCGGCTAGATGTCGATTTACTTCCAAGACACGCGCACGTTGTAATTCCAAACGCTCTTGCTGTGCTTCTGTCCATTGTTCCTATGTGAAATATAAACATACATAGTTTGTATAGAATTCTACATGAGATCAGAGAATAAAAAATATCTTCTATACCACGTGAGAACCCATTCGTCCGAGGTGCTTAATCTTTTCTTGAGTGGCTGATATTTGCTTCAAATACCATTCTCTAGCTTTATCAACAGCAGCTAGACCTTGAAGCAATACATCCTTCTCTTGCTCAATTTGTTTCATCCTTTTCATCTGAAAGTATTATGTATTGTGAAACCATTTTTCAGAAATATCAAAAAGATATTAAATAGTGAT